TTTAGAGACTGAAAGTTTCCCGTGCGGTACATCAGTCATATTACGATCGCGTCATAGGCGTGGAAAAAATAGAATGGGTAAGACCTCCAATTGCTCAAGCCATAATATACCCCAATAAAGACGTGATAAAGAGCATGATATTTTGGAGTTGAAGTGGCAACTGCTTAATACTCTACCAGATTCCATCTCGCATCTTCTCAAGAATTTATATTAACCTATCTTGTGTGAAGCTTACCAGCCCTGTGTCTGTGTCTGTAGTACAACACAGTCGACCACTATTCGGCTCTCCATCCCTATCTGGCTGAGCTAGTTCTATTTCACCTATATAGAAGCATTAATATCACCTAGGATGCGACGACCGACTTGCCTGAGCCGTAAATGATATTCTTGACCTCGAGATTGAGATTGCTCATGGATCCAAGTATGCTGGGGCACTCGGGCTGGTTGCTGACGGCAAGGTTCAGGTGGCACTTCTCGTTCACACCATACTTGCAGATGGGATCATAGATGTTGTACAACTCATAGTTCTGGGCGACCCAGCTTGTGGGCTCGTCAAGGCATGAAGTGACGTAGTTCATGGAATTGGCGGCTGATAGGGGAAGCTTTCCGTTGTCGAGGATTTCATTGCACTTGGAGGCGTGGACGAACTCGTAGTCCATGACAATGCCACCGTCCTGTTGGGGGTTCTTAGCAGCGGACTCGCCGAAGCCAAGGTAGTTCCAAGCATCGTAGGAGATGTCGTGAGCACCCCCGGAGGAGTCGATCTTGAGGAGATGGACGTCGCGGCCCTCGTTGGAAACCTTGACGCAGATGTTGTTACAGTCAACGGTACCGGGCCAGTAGGCAACGCGGTTGGTGTCGATCTTGCAGCCGAGAACTCCAATGGTGCTGGAGTACTGATCGTGGGGAGTAATACTTGCAGAGCCACGAGTAAACATGCTAACTAGTATTAAACCGAAAACATAGTTTGTCATTTGGGTCAAAAGTAGTGTATATGTTTTTATATTAAAATCAGTTTTTATTTCTAAAGCGTATTTGACAGCGACTAAAAATACGAAGTATGTTTCGATTTATGTTACTCTATAATTATATTGCTCCTTTTACAGTTGGTTCCGTATGTAATAGTCTATTTATTCTATAAGTTTACTTTATATTATTTAAATACTCAATTTACTTTAATAATCTTTCGAGAACCATAGCAATCCATTATGTTAGTAATTACCTATTGTTTACGAGGACGAATTGTAATACATGGAGCCCTAAGCAAGCTCTGTTTCAATGATACCCTCCATCGATTCAAATGGACCCCAGATCTTCAGTACATTCAGCCCAACACTCTGAACCAGCTGGCGCCACTCATTCTCTGTTCTCTCCTTTGCACCCAGACAAGCCATCATGGTGATGTCGGACGTCGTCACCCGTGCGAGGGGCTTGATGGAGTTGATAATGCTCTCGTGGATAAGAAGTCTTGAATAGCCAGGCTCCATTGCATCAGCGATGTGCTTGAGGATTTGACTTGCTTTATTGTCTTCCCAGTCGTGCAAGATATTGTGCATGAAGTAAGCTCGAGCGCCTCTGACTGGTTGGGGAGTGAAGAAGTCGTGAGACTTTACAGATATAGTGTCCGGAATATCGAGTTCCCTAAGGATCCCCGGTAGATCTTGGAGGACTAAGCTTCCCGCAGGAGTACCAGGATGGCGGATATGGAACTTGATCAAGTCATGGCCTTTGCTGCCGCCGACATCTACGACCAATGGCCGGTCAAGCTTATAGTTAGCAAGGAGGGTACCGGTCGGGTAGATTTCAGGCCAAGGCGTCAGGTTATATTTGGAGTGGCTTTCCATAGCATCATTGAACTCTCTTGAAGCGACAGGATTGGCAACAAGTGACTCGAATACATTCTCCTTCGAACCGTTCACGAACTGCCAGTTACAGTTATAGGGATCTGTAAGGTTCCTATAACCAACTTGTTTCAGGTATTCAGGCAATCTTCGAAACATTGGGACGTTTACGAAATGATATAAGCCCCCGTAGACATTGGCGAGTGCTTGGTCTGCAGCGAGTGCTTTCACCCAAGGCGTAGGTTTGTATGTGTCCTCAGCAGTCTCAATGACTAGATTCTGGCCAGAGATCTGCCGTATCAGTCGTCCTGCCAGCGGTCAGCGATTTAGCTCAAAGACTTTGGAGGGAGTAGCCTACGGATCAGCACAGGATCAGTCTTGGTAAGCTCAGCTAGCTCAGCGCAAGTCTTGTCTCCACCCCCAGCCTCAACCCACTTTGTGAAAATACCAGCATCGATCAAAGTCTTGGTGCATGCGGTAGTAGCTGGGTTGACCCAACAGTGTTGCCAGACGATATCCCAGGG